CTATTCCTATTCCTATTCCTATTCCTTCAATTACATATTTTTGTTGATTCTATGTATGGGTTCTTTGTATAGGTTGTTGTATTCTGTGCTACCGATAAGCGTTGCCAGTGAGTTACGACACAAGAGGCCCGTGCCAGCGAAACGTTACGATTGCGTAACGCTGCTGTTTTCTGGAATCGTGGGATTCTCCACCTACTGCGCGAACAACACGGATTCCAACGGGGTTATGAAGATCGTCCGCATGTTGAATGAACTCTACACTGCCTTCGACGTTCTCACAGATCCCAAAAGAAATCCAAATGTTTATAAGGTACACACAACTACTTGTTTTAGTTTACTCAAAAGAACAGTATTGATTTACTATATAAAATGGTCAGACACATAAACATACAGATAAATATCTAAAGCAATATCTGATTCTAACAGTCCAAAGATTGAAAATCTTAAGGATCATAAATTTTAATATATGATTTACATTTAAATCACAAATAAAAATTAAGTATTTTGCCAAAATATGAATAAATAAGCAACTTGAATGATCTTATCAAATCTCAAATATTGCACATCATTCTATGATTATAAAGCAAATCTAGGAATTTGAAAACAAAAGAAAACGTTTTGCTTACATTATGTAGAAAGTGAGTAATTGCAGCTGACGAGAACCGTAATCTTGTATATCTATGGAATACAAATTAAGGTATTACCAGTACATAATCTTAGTCAAATTTACAAATTGTTATTCATATTCTAAGTAGTACACATATCCTACCAACCTGGATTTAAGTATTTATTATAATAAATTTAAGCTAAAAGGGCTGATGATTTTCTACCATATATTGTTTCGTTCGCGTGACTAAGATTCAACAACAATAAAGTCAGTACCATTATTGCAGTTTCTACTTGTAATGATTAGATACAAGCGTACACGGGAAAATTGTATATTTGGGATAAAAAAAGTGTTGTTTATTAGAATGGCTTCATTAAACAAGTGAATTCGAAACCATAATAGAATAATTGCAACAAGCCTTTCTTCTAATGACGCGAGAGTAACACAATTGTTTCAATTGAAGCTATCACATGATTATAATAAATTAATTGCGAGCAGTTTCTAATACTTTTACTTCTTATAATAATTCCCTACGTTCCGATTGTTGCTGTTTTCATTTTTCTGCTGCATCTAAGAAGTCACTAAAAAGAAATTGATTTTCTAATTAATATTATTATGATTAGTGGAAGTCATAAGTTATTTTGATTAATATCAAAGTATGTTTTTCTAACTATGCGACTCTACAACGAACATGGTCATAATTTGTGATATTCGTAATTATGCTTTATGAGATAATAACATGACCAAATGTAGAGAAACCTATGACGACTTACAGAGACCGTCCGGTTCTCACACGCAATCACAATTTGCGGGGCAACTCTTAAGACGGTGAAACTAATTACCATTTACTTCTCTGCAAATCAATTTCTACTTTATGTGTATCGTCGCCCCGCATTGATGAAATGCACGCAAACGCTAATAACTTAATTAATCTTGCGTTTGATCTCCGCAGGTCGAGACTGTCGGAGATAAGTATATGGCAGTGAGTGGGCTTCCAGAGCCGTGCACGACCCACGCAAGAGACATGGCGAGATTAGCTCTGGACATGATGGACCTTGGGCGAGATGTCCTGGTCGACGGTGGAGAACCTGTGGTAAAAGAAAAATATATATAAATAAATACTCAATTATTTTTTTGTTGCACTTTCCGAGCCACGTGAAAACAGAGAAAGGTAAATGTTGTTTGTTTTGTTGTTTTTTCTTCCGTCCTTTCTTGATAGCGTATTACGATCGGGATTCATTCCGGAGAGGTGGTCACAGGCGTCATCGGACACAGGATGCCGAGATATTGTTTATTTGGGAACACCGTGAATTTAACGAGCCGAACCGAAACCACGGGAATTCCAGGTAGAATTAATGTCTCCGAAGATGCTTACAGGTAGATATGAGTAAATCTTTATTTATAATTAATTATCATAAAAAAAAGATATTTTCTGCGACGAAAGACAAATCTATGTTTACTTGAAGGTCAGATTATAAATTTTATGGGTGTTTTTAACATGATTACAAAACTACACTTAAAATTTTTGTTAAAGTCAAATCAATCTTATCGAATATCTTAAGCAAGTACTAAATATGTAATTGTTTTCTTGTACTTTCTTAGCATGAATTTACTACAAAATTATTGTTATGCGAAATATTTCAGTTGTTGAAAGTTTCCTAATTTTGGACCACATGCTATAAATCTGAATTGGAGCTGTCAAATTTGAGTAAAACATATAGAATTCAGATGACAAGTGGTTAATTTAAAACTAAATCCTAGTAAACTAAAGACAAAAATCAATAATTTTGATGTATTATAGAATTTATATGAACTAATATATACTTTCTTTTTGGAAAGAGGTAAACAAATTGTTGTAGACTGAAATAATGTGCATATAAGGAAATACTGTTTATTCCTTTTATGACTATTATTCAGTGCACAGCGGAAGATATTACGCAATCACACTATCACTTTTGGCTTCATTTTCAAGACGGGAACGAATAATTTTCTCGGAATGAAACCAATTTAAAATTCGTAATGCAAAATACATTTATCGAATTGATTTACATAAGAAAAAAAAATAAAATAGAAACGTGGTTTTGATGTAATTCACATTCCGTTTTAAATTGCTATTCTTATTATAGAATACAATCATTTATTTAATTAATTTATCTATTCTTTTTTTTCCTTTCTTTTAATTTTATATAAATTGTTGAATGCGCAAATTATATATATTAATTATTGATTTATAAAATATTAATTAAAGTAATTGGTTAAAATAACACGCATTTCATATGCCATATTTAATGTAAAAAAAAATGTAATTATTTCTCTCGCATTTGTATGAATTTATATTTGTAGAATTATTGCAAATTTCCCGGAAATACACATTACGAGTTGGCGTCGAGTTTAGTAAACAATGTATTTTATGCATTCTTCGACGTAACGTGTTTACAAATTTGCGAATATACAGTAGTAATGAATAATTCCAAACTTCTTTCGCGGAATTTAAAAGCTTTCTCAAGCGACCAATGCCGTTACATAATTGAAACGTAATGTAGTGCTTTCAAACATAGGAGATAATAAAAAAAAAATGATATTAAAGTTTCTTCAAGAATTCATCATTAAAAATGGCAAAAAAAAACATATTACATATTTCAGTATTACAAAATTTTCTACGAAATAGTTAGAATATTTATATCCTTATTTAAACAATAAAAAAGGAGACTATATTTAATGGTGAAAGGATAAAGGTATGTTAAATATATCGAATTGATTATAAAAATAGTTAAATAAAAGTTGAAGTTATAAATTATACATTTAATCTGTTTTCTGGATACGAGAAGATCTCATTAAATTGATGTGTTTTTTTTAATTTTTTAATCCTACATGTTTATTGCTTTTGCATGGAAGATAAAAGTCGGGTTTAAAATGGAAACAACAATATATAATTCATCGTAAAGTTTCGCGCGCAGAACAACACTAGGGTTTTTAGGTAGACGTAAAATGCAAAATAAGGAGACATAGAGACTAAGAAAAGAAAACATGCTATTGAAATTTATTGAAATTTATGCAGAAGATTGCTCGCTTCGTATTTGGTTGGCTTGCACGCAATTGAAAATGATTGTTCTGTGAAACATAAAAATAAGGAATAAAACTAATCCTCCATAATATCGATATATTTATGCAGCGAACCAGGTATAGGCAACAGACGTATGCCATTCGGTAATTGGTAATTAATCCATAGTTGGTATCGAATAACGCACCTACATAGGTGTTTCAGTTCTGGTGGTTGAAAACCGCATCTGCTTGCTGGCAAGATGCAGTCCTGCACTAAATACGGGTATCTTGCCAAAACAATGTCCATCTGAGTTTGGAACGAGCCACGGGTACTTCTGCTACAATCAGCCTGTATGCAAATACGTGGCATCGCGCGCAGAACGAGCTGCAGACACGAAACAATATTATAGGGATAAGATCGGTCGCATTCAGTGAGGCGATTTAGGATGATGTCGACAACGGTCTCCTCGTCGTCATTATCCTCGTCGTAAATCCTCGCTCCGTATCTCAATAGGATTAGCAGCTTATCCGGTACGCCCAGCTGGACCACGATCTTAAGACATGTCGCTTTTCCGCAACTGTCGATGGGCACGTCAATGAACCGTTTGTTCTCGTGTCCGCAAGCGTACTCCAAATTGGCATTGGTTGCGTGATCCAGATAATAAACCATAGCACGGACGTTCTCCTCCTGACTATCGAAGTCGCTCTTCCAACCTGCGATGAAATGAGGAGCCCGCGTTCCGAACAAAGCACCAATCATCAGCCTCTCGAACGTCCCTTCGCAATGATAAATATCGTCCAAAAGTGCGGCCACCGTCGCCGTATCTCGCAAACCCCAATCGAAGCATAGCTTGAGACCAACGTACAGCACGTTATGGTACTTCCCCATCAAGCAAACACCGCCGTTCTCTGTCTTTGACTTCTGGTGGTACCGCAAAATGCAGACGATCGCTTCTCGAACGACGGTCTGCGAATCGGAGTTTTCACCTGGAATTATATTGCAAATCGAATGATTTACGAAACAGATGGGGCAGCCAAGCGATACTTGATTGTTATTAATTTCGCCGCAGATACTACTTGCGAATAAAAAAGAAAGTTCCGCAGAGACGGCAATCATTTTAATTATCATTCGAACACTTTCGTTTACCCAATCTGCATCCCTCGATTAGCGTGTTGAAATATTCGACTAGATCTCTTCGTTTGTAGCGAGCATGCAAACTGTTGCGCTCCATGCTCTCGAAATGCTCGAAGAAACATTTTAATAACACGTTCATTTCTACACTGGATTATTCTATTCTAATTTTTTGTTTTTACTTTAATGACAGCACTGACATCGACAACCAATACACTTTAAATGCGGAACTTCGCACACTAACTGTTTGATATAGATATACTTGGAAAATCCCCGTAAATTGGATTTAAAACCTTTCAAAGGTTTCTCAAGTCTTAATTAAGCTTTGGGGTATTTCGTAGCAAATATCAGTTTGTTAAGAGATTTTCATCATATCTATTACAATTTTAAATCAATTTACTTGCTATAAATAAACAAAATTTGTGTGTTTATTATTAACACATTAGAGACTGAAATCTCTTCAGCCAGATGCGTGTGAAACATCTATAAATACAAAAAAGTAAATTGCAAGTTTATTATTCATAAATATTAATATGTGAAAATAAAACAATTTATTAAATCAAAATGATATAATTGTTTTTATGTGATTTATGCAAACTATGAATTTATTTTTTTTAACGAACAGAATAATAAGAACATTATGCTTTAATGAGCTTCGGCTGGGTTTGTTACATGGCCATTGAACTACACATTTTTTGTGCCATCAAGTTTTTGTCTCAGTCGTTTTCTTAAGCACTGCGAAAAAAAAATTGTTTTATGGGATAATACTTATATCCACGGAATAACGTCTGCTTCATTAAATTTCGCAACAAGTTAATCTCAAATATCATTTTTATTACAGAAGATGATAAATCACGTAACTTTCTCCGAAGGAAACAACACAAAAAAAAATATATATAATCATAATAATATTAATGGGTTTTGCATAATTGCAACGTCTAAACGTAACAATTATTATTATATAACTCAATCGGGAGAAACCAAGAACGTGACACCTCTAAACATCGAAATTATGCAAATGTCTGCTCCCCGAGCTATACTTAAAACAATTTATTTTAATTAGCATTCTTCGTATTTCTCTTGGACGTTCAACTTCAATATGTTTTTTTTTCGTCCCACTCGATGTTTTGTCATGTAATTTTGTCCATTTAAAAGATTTAATTTTCACGTTGTTTACATGTGCGAAATGAGAGTACACCCACGCAAATAACTTGAAATCCGACGCACCTTCGCCCACTCCAAAGATTCCTCATTCACGTTACGCAACATAAAATTTTATTTTTACAACTCACTCACGAACTTTTATTCAGTTTTAATTAATAATCCAAACCGAATTGCGTAACAATTCGGTGGAGAGAGAGTAAAATTAGAAAATTATTTTGTTGTATTATACGAATATTTAAAGCGGAAACAGGAATTTATTCCGAAAATGATTAAATTTCTTCATAACAAAAGAAAGTATTATTTAAGCGTGAATTATTTGTTTTTAACGGCAGGAATTAGTTTTATTCTATTCAGGTTAATTCGAGCAAAATCTGTGGATACCGGTGGATTTGATGATGCGAGCAGATGTTTATTTTCTAATGCACAAAAAAAAGATGAACGGTTAACTGAATTTGTGTTTTCTCCAAATGCAATTCATAGTTAATTGGATGGATTAACCTAGTGAAGCGTGTTTGTTCTGTTGCAGATATTTGTGCAAGGATGAGAACTTCGATGAGCAGTTCAATTTCGTTTACCGTGGACCGATCGCCATGAAGGGGAAATCTGATCCCATGAACGTTTGGTTCTTGACCAGACAGCGATCCGAGTAATTCCTAAAGAAACGGAAGGATAACGGTTCAGATGCTGCAGCGCAGTGCAGCGCGTTGGATGATCTCTCCAGCAGCATGTGTTTCCTGCGGTCTTCTAATTCCTAGTTCACCTGCATATTCAGATTAGTTATCGATGTGTAATTTGATTCAATTCGCGTTCGTACGTTAGAGGTATTAACTTCGTCCGACATCTGCGCCCGACGCTTAAATATTGCTGCAGCCGTATATAATTACTTTTGAATCCAGCAAGATTAATCGATCGTTTTGCAGTCTCTAACTCAACTGCAATTTGTTTTCCCTGTCGCAGAACCGAAAACAACATACAAGACACAATATTATTATGATACAATGCAGCTTACGTAACGCGATTCAATACAAAATGATACGAATAATCGTTCGTTTCATGTTTATTACTCGTAAACGTGGCTCCTTCTATGCATAACCTTTTCAAATAATATAACGTATGAGATAACATAAACCTTTAGGTGCTGCTGTATTTGAGCACTTACAAATAGATAAATTATTCACTATAGTTCAAATAAACATGTAAATAAATGTACTCTTTTAATAAATATTAAATAAATTAGTCCCAAATTTCTTGTTTTAATTAGTGTGTATAATGAGAATCAGTAATCTTAGCTTAAGGCTATTAACCTCTAATGTTTTCGCTTTGTTTATTCTTCAAATATGGAATTGCAAGGTAATTCTTCCAATTCAATTTATTTAGTTGATTAACAAATTTGACCAATAAGCACGTAAACTTTTTTACAAGATTTGATTAATTAAATTACATACAGTTAGGAATTTCTTTCTGCAAACAAAAAAGCATGTTATTTTCGTTTCAACGAATTTCTTTGAGAATCGATATTGCTTGTTGCCTTCAACGTGAAGTGCCCATTCCCAAACGCTTATGAAACTTTATTTTCAATGTTGTGTAAGATGGAAAGGCTTTTTACGCTTTCTGCAATCGAAATAAGCGTCCGCATGATATTGGCTATTTTCCGACGATGCGTTTTCTTTTCCACTCCTTTTCATCAAAAAAAAAATAAATATTGACGCTTCAGAAAATAAATTTTCTTAAAAAAAATATTCTGATCGAAAAATGTTATATTTTATTATAAGAACGTAATTTTTTTATAAAAAAGTAAAAGATATTTATTGAATATATACTTAAATAAATAGAAAGGGTTATTAACACTAGTCTTTTCCAAAAAATGGTACTTTTACCTGTGACTGATCAATAATACAGCAAATAATACAGAAACAATCACTATTTGTAATGAAAGCATAGAATATTACTATGTATAATACAAACCATAAACTATAGTTTACAATTTCCTGATAGATTGGTCCCATTTTCATCGTATTGTTGCCCACATTAATAGAGCTATTTATATTAGAGGGCGACTAATAGTCGAATGGTTAAGTCGCCCTACCCACGATTTCGTGGGCGCAGGTTCAAATCTTGGTTTGTGAGCCTCCATCAATAGGGCCATCGTTCATCACAGAATCAAATCATCACAATGGTAACTATCCACCGTGAAAGATTACTTACCTAATGTCAACCGCGGTCTTAAATTTATTAAATATTAAAAATACCAAAAAACGTTCAAAACTCTTGTCTAATATGCCAATGTTTTGTATATTTTACTATTTTATATCTATCTTGCTGATTGTATAATATTTGATAAAATTGATGTAAAATTACTTGACAAGTTCCAAGTATTATTCATATATATTTATATAAGCTACTTGGCAAATATTGGTTACTAAGTGATAGTTTAAATGTAAATAGTTTGTAATTCCATAATAAATGATTTTAATGTATAGAAAAAAATGTGTTATTTACAAATAATAGTATTTTAAAAAAAAAAATGCTTGTAAAATAATTTACGCTTATTTCAACAAATTCTAATCGAAATGCAGCACTCTTCATACGCATATAAAAATGTGTTTAACGTTTGAGATACGCAGGTGCAGCTTCGTGACGATTCGCGTCGTTTCGCATTTCCGAACGATTGTTTAAACAATCTCCTAATTTTTATTACTTTCTTAGTTATCAATAATGCAGGTGTTCTCACTGCACTCTTTCCATGCCCAAATATGGATATTACTTGACAAGTTCCAAGTATTATTCATATATTCATAATTGTTATTGCTTCCTTATTGAGTGTGCGAAACAAGGAACTATCATTCTCGTGAACCAATACGAATTGTTTGAACGTGGCACAAACGAATTTTATTTCTCAAATGTTTTATCACTTTCATTTAAATTAAAATTTATTAAATATTAAAAACAACGCGAAAACGTTGAAAACTCTTGCCCAATGTGCAAAATATTTTGTCACTTTTCATTGAAATAAAAATTGATTAAACAAGTAT